CCTCTGCTCCCCAACCTGCCATTTTTTTGCAATACGGCTCAAAACCCCAGGCACAGCTGCCACCATCCTTGGAGCAATAAGGCTCTGCTCTCCGGAAAAGCCCCAGGGGGGATGTCCTGTCCGCCCACTGTCGTCTCAAACCTTGGTGCAAGAGATGAAGCCAAAGGAAGTCCAAAAATGAGGATGATGAGGGCAAAGGGGCTGGAGCTGGGGTGTCCCTAAGCCCCTGGGCCAGCTCAGCGTGGGCCTGCCTTGGGCATTGGGGTGTTTCAGCATTTTGAGTCAATCCGGTGCTTCAGCCTTTTCCACGGAGACACTTCCCCCGTCCCAGGGCATTTGGGCAGACGTAGGGACAACGGCTGGGATGGAGATCGCCCGCTCAGAGCAGCCCAGGAGGACGCTCGGCTGATACCAGCCATGGATGGGGGGAGGCTCCTCGCTGATTTGTTATCAGGAACGCAACAGCAAATTCAATTTCTGCCCTCCCTCCTCCTTTGCTCTCCAGGCAGCGGCACCACGGGGACGTGGAGGAGGAACCAGCTGGGCAGTTTTGATACTTAAACCACTGAGTTTTCAGTAGGGTTCTGCTCACTCCCAGGTTCAAGTGATTTTTCGAAGGAGGGATGCTCCATTTCATTATTTACGCTGGTGCCATCGATGCGCTCGCTATCGTTCAGCACCAACCTCACCAGCGGATGATAATAGGATTGTAAACTTTTGAAGTTAATAGGAAAATTATAGTGCTTCCGTGTATTATTATAATGCACTAAGCTGCCACACAGTGTCTCTCACCCTGCGGGGTATCGCGGCTTGTCACCCAGCCTAGGAAGGGAATGATTAAAGCCCCATGAAATTCGCAGTGTCACAAAAGTCTTAAGAAGCATGAAATTCTCTGTTTTCCATTTAAAAAAAAAAAAAAAAAATTGCATTTTGACGTAGTTTTAAGAGAGCCCTGTTAATTCCAGATTTGCTGCAGTGGCGCCCAGGTCTCGTGCAGATAAGCTCACCTCGCGTGGGAGCTAAGAAACAAAAATCAGGAGAAAAACGCTGTTTCTTTAGTGCCTGCTGCTGCAAAATGGTCCAAGGGCCGTTTCCAAAAGCGCCTGCGGGGTCCCAGGGCCCCGGGCCCGGCAGTGGCTTTGGTCCCTTGGGGATCCGTGCGTTTCTCCTGCCTCCTTGCAAGTACAGATGTGCAGGATCCGTCCCAGGGGGGACGAGGGCAGGGATTTGCCGGGGGTCGCTCCCACGCTGCAGGGCTGGATGGAAGCGCCCGGGGTGCCAGGGCAGCCGACGAAGCTTTTGGTGAGCTCCTCTTCCAGCTAACGAGCTTGGAGATATGAAGAGGATAACGGCGCCGTGTACCTGTCTCTTCCCATCCCCAGCATCATTTTTAATGAGCAATTAAGTGAGCAGGGCCATTAGGAACAGTTAAAAAAATTCCTGTTTAAAGAAATAAAAAAG